TTTTATGGGCTCTGCACCTCAGCTGTGTTGCATTCCAGTAATTAGTAACTGGTTTGTCAATGCACACAGCTGAGGTGCATCCCGATGATGACCTTCTTCCTTTATTTAAACCTCTGACAGACGCTCCGCCGTCGCCGGAACATTGCCAACATTAGCTACTGATATCGAACGTATCTAGCTTCTGTTAACTACTGATACCTGATACCTGACACAACATAGCGCTGCTTTATGTAAGTACTAATGGAATGCTACGCTGACAGTTACTGTGCGTTTTGGCTTGACTCCATTTACACGACATAGGCGCTACACTACACACACCCTCAGTTTTGATTCGTCTCCGCGGCTTTGCTTTTTGGACTATACTTACCCTGTTCTTCTACCGTTAGTTTGTTTGTTTACCCGTTCATCCCGGTCTCCTTTGTTATCACTACCCTTCCTTTGTTGTAAGTATTACGGACCCTGTTTTGTTGTTACGTTGGAGTTGTCTTATTTTTTCCCCATTAAACCTTTTTTCATACTAGCACCTGGGTCGGCTATCTTGAGTCCTACCCCTAGTTCTCCCTCACCCTCCTGGCGAGGGGGGCTAACCCTAACACATTTCAAGTACAGTAATTTATAAATCACTGGCGTGTCTCCATCCAGCCTCTCTAAGCTCCAGCACATTGGATCACTTCTCTGATGTTTACGTGTTCTCCATCTTAAACCTCTTACCTTTGGAAAACGGGTTACATCAACATCTCTGCTGCCATATGTCAGATTTACTGTGCAGCTAAGTCGAACATGAATCAAAATACAGATGAGTGACACATGAAAGGACAAACTTGAATGACTGAGTGGTCTCCTCCAGGATGACAGAGACCCAGGACACCAGGGTCCCTCACTGGTCTGATGAGGATGACCATGATGTGAACCAGATGCTGTGGCCTTCCCAGTCACCAGGTCTCAGCCCAGTTGAACAGCTATGGGAGAAAACGACACATGAGGGAACATCTGTTGGAAGAACAGTGTTCATCCCTCCAGGAGAGTTCAGAGATTTGAAGAGTTAGTGTCAAGGTGGAGCTGTTCTGGTGCCACGTGGCGGCCCAGCTCCTCACTGAGATGCTTTATGTCGGGTCGTCCTTTCATCTGTAACCAGTCTGTATCTCGGAAATATACACATAAATGATCTGTTCTAAAATGTTCCTGTGGTGCTCAAAAGTAGAATTATTGCCTTTTAGACTCCTGCAGATTCATGACATTTTAAAGTTTACATTCTATGTGAAACCTAAACTTTGTTTTTTTCAAATGCCAAGCTGCATTAAGTATGACCCACGTACGGAATGAGGCAAGTGATTTGCTACAGAGGTTAATAGTTTTTGAGGGACTGGATCTGGAACTGAACACAATTGGAGACACCGAACAACATTATCATGAACCGGACGATGATTTTGACCCTGAAAAAAACTTTTTTAAGAACTCTG